AGAAATATAATGTTTGTGCAATTTAATGAAGGGGAGAAACAGTCAAAACTCTGATCAAACTTTGTTTGGAAGTAAAGAATGTTAATATGTAATTGTCACAAGTAGATGCAATCACTTTACATGATTTCATTTTCTGTACAAGATATGTCATGAAATAAATCTTATTGAAACTGCATATTTCCTTTTGTGAAATCTACATTTTTTACATATTTAATCTTCTTAGATTTTGCACATCTACATTCCTTTTATAGGTAGTTCAACTCAAAATGTGATTTGAATTGAAAATATTTTTATCTATCCATGGTTTTCAAATATTTGGTAAATGATCATTTATGTGATATATAAGATGTTCCTTGAAAGTATCTGTTAAATTAGAAGACTTAAGACCTTATGAAGACCTTAAGACCTTATGAAGACTTAAGACCTTTGAAGGAATTTGTCCATATTAAGATAGACTTATCAATTGCTACGTAAGAAATTACCCCAATATGTAGCTTAGAAGAGCAAACATTGATCTTGCATGTTCTCTGAGGGTTGTGAAAGCATTAGCAGCTCAGCTGGCTGGTGGCTCTGTTTCTCTAAGGAGGTTGCAGCCCACCTGTTGAGCAAGGTCACTGCCAGGGAAGGCTGACAGGGCCTGAGGGGCTGCCTCAGAGCTCACTCCTGTGACTGCTCACAGACTTGGGTTCCTCACCGGTGGATCTCTACACAGGGCTGCTCAGGACAGACAAGACTCCCCCTGAGTAGCTATCTAGGAGAGGACTTCAGGGAAAGACAGAGGCAGGGAGAGCTAAAGGGAAAGGGAAATGGAGAAAGGGTGGAAGAGAAGGGTGAAGGAGAGGAAGAATACATGAAAGTAAGACTGTTTCGTAATGGAATAATCTAAAAAATGATGGATCATCACTTTTTCCATATTCTCTTGACCTCACTGATCAATCCTATTACAATGTGGAAAGGAAATACACAGGAGATATATCAGAAGGTAGATAGATAGGTAGATAGATAGATAGATAGATAGATAAGAAAGAGAGGGGCTGGGATTTATTTAGAGTAAATAATATCACTTCAAATAAAAAGGTACTGTCATGAAATAGATTAAAACAAATGATATCATTGTTAATTATATCAAAACCTGTCAATTACTCTCTGTAACCCTGTTTAGCATTCCAAATTCCATAATTGTCGAGTGGCAAAACCTAAATGTAGTTTAAAGAAATTATCTAATTCTTTTTTTTAAGTACTTCTTGTCTTCAATGTTTTCTAAAGGATTTAAATAAAGTTCCTCTTAATTTTAAGTGAAATAAATTTAAGTATTGTATCATTTGAAAGAAATGACTAATTGTTTTCTTACGTATGAATTCTTTCCTATAAGTACTTATCTTTGATAACCATACTAATTTAACAATTAACTTTATCCCTTAATGATATAATTCTTTTTTTTCCCCATTAAGTTTATTGGTACATTTTAGGTGTACAATACAGTTACATTCATCATTGGGATCTTGTACCATTACATGAGTCTCTTGGTTCTTATTTTTTTTCCCCTTCCCCTGCCCTCCTTCCACTCCCTCC